AAATATAGGTAAATGTATAAATAGTTAGTTTCTAAATCTTTAATTGAGAGAAAAAGTCAAAAAATAATAGTAATTATGGGATAAAGGGAGTAGAATGGATCATTAAATGACTACAATGCTCTTAATACTCAAAAACTTAAAAGATAATTGTTTACACTCATTTTTTACAAAAAATAAAATGGTGTCATGTGTCATCCATGTTGACAATTATTTTATTAGTTAAAAGTTGTTAGTGTAAATTTCTCCAAATAAGGTCCAGTGGTTATTTTCACAATAGCAGCAAAGTCGTTTGCTTGTTGCAAACTTCCAGGAAGATAATCAACAACACAAACAAATTATACGATTTGCTGTCGATTTTATGCTGTCGTTGGTTTTCAAGATGCCGCCAACAAAACTCCACTATATTGCCAAAGTGCTATAAATACCCGATAATTAGATCAAGCAAAAAAGACCAGCCTTTCACACAAGTAGTCTAACACTATTTACATTTTAATTTTACAAGCAATGTCTTTGTTTAGATCCAGTTTTCTCAAATAGTTTTTCTAATTTAATATTTAGCTTTACGTTGCTATTAGTTTTAACTCTGATTTTTGTTATTTCGTTGTAAACATCTTCACTCGATATATTTAGTTTTCTACAATTCAATTTACTGCACTTTGCCCCAAATTCATCTTTCTACCTTCTTTTAAGTTTTGTTTTATACTTCATCTTTTATTTTATTCTTTATGCTTTTATGCTTTCGTGGCGGTATTATGTTTTCTCTTTGCAATTTAGTTTTCTTATCATGCACTCTCTTTCTTCCCCTATTCCTTATTTTCCTCTTTTATTTTGATCAGCAAACTAACATTTTGGCTCTAGTTGTAGGAACTCCTGATGTTCTTCCAGGGCAATTATTTATGAACCTTTATGTAGAAATGCACCTCCATTTTTACGATAATTGTCTGACTAGGGTGCATCTTATAGTTTATTTAACCGGTGTTCTTCCATTGATTCACAATTGAGTTCCACGCTTGAAAGTAATGAAGGTCATCGAAAATCCCTCTTTCTCACTTTAAGTAAAGTGAGTGGCACGCTTTCGCAATCTTGTCTGCCACGTGGCCAGAAAAGAAGATTTTGGAGACAACAATAATTAAAAAGGTATTTTAGTCACTTCCATGTATCATTTCTCAATTTTGAGATGGTTATATTAAATTAACAATAATCCATTAATAATGTTTATTAACAATAATCATGTGCTATCAAACGAATGGATATATATCAATTCATACTGAATAAAAAGATAATAAAACGTATTGATATGTCATGTCATCAAGAAGTATTGTTAACTAACATTCGTGAGAAAATCAATTACATAGATTAGAGTTCGACCGCATTTTCTAAAACTCAGATTTTTAGATTTATAGAATGAGTGAGAATGTGCTCATCGACAATGTATATTTTAGGCAAATGGAGGAGCAAGAACATGGAGCATTGCCAAGCCATCCGCAGACAATGAGCTGCTTAACAGCAACATTAACTGCAACTGGGAGCAAAATGGAGTTGTTGCAGCTAAATCCAACCTGGAGGTCGTTACTCCCATTCGGTCACTGCCATCTCGTATGCCCATTCACGCCATGAACCTCGTCTACAAGGCTGCAGGGTCTGGAACTACCACTTCCATGGCACTGGGATCATTGTCTCAGAAAACTAATGTAACTATAAAATTGACCATTAATTAGGTTTAGTTACCTCCTGCTAATTGATACT